TTTTCTTCCGATCAAGTTCAAAATGGCCGACTGGCGGCCATTTTTGTTTTAAAGAATTTAGTTTTCGATCCATATCCCGGACATGCCTGGACAGATCAAGTTCAAACTTCACATACACATCATACATTATATCATACATATGCCTGTGCATTTGGGCCAGTCCTTTTAAGGTCAAAAATTTACCAAAATTGCACATTTTCACCATACCGGAACTGAATCTTAGTCATGCATGGGCAAATTTAGTTTAAATTTGTTTTTGAATTGTGTTGAAAATGGCTGACTAGTGGCTATTTAGTCCCCGTTTGGACGTAGTCCGAAAACAGGGACTTATGTTTTGCCCTGTGTGCGTCCGTGCGTCTGTGCATCCGTGCGTCCGTGATCACCTGTATCTCGAACATGCATGGACCGATTAAATTCAAACTTCACTCATACATCACACATTATATGGGACATATGCACATGCATTTTTTTTATGATCCGATTAAAGATAGCCGAATAGCGGCCATTTTAAGGCCGAAAATCGCACATTTTCACCATTCCGAACCCGGATCTCAGTTATGCATGGACGGATTTTGTTCAAATTTGGTACATACATTAAACATAATAGGACCTTGATGCACGTCATTTTTTTGGGGGATCGGGCTTGAAATGGCCGACTGGCGGCCATTTTGTTTTAAAGAATTCAGTTCTGGATCCATATCTGAGACATGTCTGGATTGATCGAGTTCAAACTTCACACACACAAGGTACATCATGTCACAAATATGTATGTGCATTTGTTTCATGATCTCATTAACGATAGCCAAATGGCGGCCGCTTTAAGGCCGAAAGTGCATTGAAATCGCACATTTTCACCATTCCGGACCCGGATCTCAGTTATGCATGGACGGATTTTGTTCAAATTTGGTGCATACATTAAACATAATAGGACCTTGATGCACGTCATTTTTTTTTTCAGATCAAGTTCAAAATGGCCGACTGGCGGCCATTTTGTTTTAAAGAATTCAGTTCGGGATCCGTATCTGAGACATGCCTGGATTGATCGAGTTCAAACTTCACACACACAAGGTACATCATGTCACAAATATGTACTGTATGTGCATTTGTTTCATGATCCGCTTAACAATAGCTGAATGATGGCCATTTTAAGGCCGAAAATGCATCAAAATCGCGTATTTTCACAATTCCGGAACCGGATCTCAGTCATGCATGGATGGATTTTGTTAAGATTTAGTGCATATATTAAACATAATATAAGCTTGATGCATACCAATTTTTCTAAGGATCAAGTTCAAAATGGCCAACTGGCGGCCATTTTGTTTTAAAGAATTTAGTTTTCGATCCATATCTCGGACATGCCTGGACAGATCAAGTTCAAACTTCACATACACATCATACATTATATCATACATGTGCCTGTGCATTTGGGCCAGTCCTTTTAAGGTCAAAAATTCACAAAAATTGCACATTTTCACCATACCGGAACTGAATCTTAGTCATGCGTGGGCAAATTTAGTTTAAATTTTTTTTTGGTTTCTGTTGAAAATGGCTGACTGGTGGCTATTTTGTTTTACTGAATGCAGTTCAACATCCATATTGTTGCTGCTTTGAATGTATATGTCACTCAAATATGAACGGAACGGGGATGTGTCATTGACAATGACTTGTTTTTATTTAAATTACTAGCGAATTTTTTTCGTACTTGGTTCACTCGCGTATTTTTTTTATTTAAATTACTCGCTTATTTTTTCGTACTTGGTTCACTCTCGTATTTTTTTGTACTTGGTTCACTCGCGTATTTTTTTATTTAAATTACTAGCGTATTTTTCGTAATTGGTTCACTCGCGTATTTTTTTTATTTAAAATACTCGCATATTTTTTCGTACTTGGTTCACTCGCATATTTTTTTTATTTAAATTACTAGCTATTTTTCATAATTGATTCACTCTCGTATTTTTTTGTACTTGGTTCGCTCGCGTATTTTTTTTTTTTAATTACTCGCATATTTTTTCGTACTTGGTTCACTCTCGTATTTTTCGTAATTGGTTCATTCGCGTATTTTTTTTATTTAAAATACTCGCGTATTTTTACGTACTTGGTTCACTCTCGTATTTTTTTGTACTTGGTTCACTCGCGTATTTTTGTAATTTAAATTAATAGCGTATTTTTCGTAATTGATTCACTCTTGTATTTTTTTTTATTTAAAATACTCGCGTATTTTTTTGTACTTGGTTCACTCGCGTATTTTTTTATTTAAATTACAAGTGTATTTTTCGTAATTGGTTCATTCGCGTATTTTTGTTATTTAAAATACTTGCGTATTTTTTCGTACTTGGTTCACTCTCGTATTTTTTTGTACTTGGTTCACTCGCGTATTTTTTTATTTAAATTACTAGCGTATTTTTTCGTACTTGGTTCACTCTCGTATTTTTTTGTACTTGGTTCACTCGCGTATTTTTTTATTTAAATTACTTTTTTCGTATTTGATTCATTTCGTATATAGTAAATAAGCTGTTAATAAGTAAGCAGTAGAGGTGTGATTCACTATCGTCGGCACCACCGTTTGAAATAGTGTGACTTATAATCAATACAGTCTTAAACAATAGAGAAAAAATGACATTTTCCTGAAAAGAAAAGAAAAATGTGTTAATCGATCCATGCCGATGTTGTCTGCTGGGTCAAACACGTGAACCGATGTGCTTTGTTTCAGTGGTCTAAAGTGTCACGTTCGTCTACTCGATTGGCATCATGAAAAATACAAAATAAGCTTAGCATATGCAACTTTGCTGGGTGCAAATGTTGAGAAGTGTGACATAAAGCGGTTATACCGTCGAGGGGTCGAAACGTTGAGGGGTCTAATCGTCCTAGGGTTTAATCGTCCTGGGGTCCAAACTGCGAGGGGTCCAAACGACTTGTAATCTTTAGAACGCCCATTGAGGTCTTTTATTTATTTATTTATTTATTTATTTATTTATTTATTGCTTCCCTTTTGTAACAGGGGCTCACTATGTAAACTAGGAGCTGCACCAAATAAAAAAATACATTTCACTCAAAGACTTATGAAAAAAAAACTTTTGATAGACAAAAAGAAATTAAGTTACATGAACTAAGATAACAAAATATAACAACAACAAAAAACCTCCATGGAACGCCCAACCCATAGATACACAACTGGTATTGTAAATAACCTGTGTAGTCAAAACCAACGTCCCAAAATGTACATATATATAAGTTATTTTGTTAGGGAAAAAAATACACAAACTTAATAATAATCTTTATTGTATAACCGTATCCTTATTTGGATATTGACTCAGAAAAAGAAAATTACAATAAAGATGAAAAGCTGAGTAAGTAATAAATGGAAGCACTAAAATTGAAAAGAATAATAATAATAAATTTGTATAGAATCACTGCAAGTTGTTTTAATTCCATTTGTCATTTGAAATGTATAGAGTATTTATACATGTATAAAAAAAAACATTCACAGTTACTTACTGCTTTCGGAAATGTAATGTAAATGAACACATACAATGTACAATTTACATGTATTGAATTTGGTCAAAAACATTATACCAGTCCAAATTAATAACCATTCATTGGAAATTACTGGCACAATGATAGATCAAATTTGAACCATTTTTGTATATTAATTTGTTAGAATTATTTATGTACCACATACTTGACAAAAGACAGTGTGAATGATCAACATTACTATAGCCATTAACAAATTCTTTGGATTTAAATGTGTCATGAAATATTGTTTCTATCTTTCTTTCACCAGGTATTTGTATTTTTAGTGGTATGTTTGACAACCTCAGTGGTCCTTACATTCTATATCTACATCATGCCTTTTGTGTTCTCCTGTGGACTGCATTGGGTTATATTTCATTTAGTGTTTGGACATTGGTTACTTATGAATATCATTTTTCATTACTACAAAGCAGTCATCACATCACCTGGAGTGCCAAGCAAGGTAAGTTAATTTACAAGCTACATACATATATACATAGTAGAAAGCATGCACCTCACTTTTCATAACATTCTTTTGCAAATTAGCCACAGCACTAAGTAATTTTTTAGGGAGATCACTGATATGTAAACAAAAATTGAGGTCAATGTTATGAGTAATGCAACATTGCTCCAATAAAGTCCTTTGTTATTCTGCACTTGGATGAAGTCTGAAAACAATGATTGTTACAGGACAATTTTTTGTTGTTTTCCATTTTCATTGATTGATTTGCTTAGATACTACATGTAAGACAAGACATAATAGTATACACTATACCTAGGCACTGCAATATGCATTGTATTGACAACTGGTGGCCATTTTTGTCTCACATTTTTGTTCTACATGTTTCTCATGTCTTGGCTGATTGGCACAGTCACTAAAAAACAGAAACTGAACAGGGACTACTGTAAAACATGTCTTCTTAGCTAGCATTTTATTTTAGCCTATTTAGCTAATTCTCAATTTCGTTAAATTAAGATGTCCCTAATTAGAATTGAGTATATTCTCACAGTAAGATTATTGGCACTTTAGCTAAATTAAGATTCAGTTAATTCATGAATTGAGTCAAATTCACTAATTTAAAAATGGCATGTAGCTATTTCAAAGTGTTTCACAGTATGTCATTGAGAGTCACTCATTTTTATATATCCTGTGATTTATGATTGTAGGGTTTTATGGTTGTGTGTGCAAAGTGGCTTGGTTCCATATCGACAGGGTTGCTCCTAGAGTGACATAAACAAATATTAACTTAGTGAACCCCCTCCCTCTCCCACCAACACTACAAACTCAATCATGATATGTGATATTAGTAAGACATTGGAACTTAGTTGAATTTAATATTTGTTATAAGTAATTTTAACTAATAATTGTTAATTTTTTTTTCTTTTAATTGTCAGGGAAATTTGAGCAAGATAGGAATCACTTCAGTCTGCAAGAAATGTATATCTCCCAAGCCATCTCGTACGCATCATTGTAGCGTATGTAATAAATGTATACTTAAAATGGACCATCATTGTCGTATCCTTTCATCAATTGCCTCTTTATCAAAATTGTTCATGTCTTGATCTACATGTATTTGGTGTTGTTTTACAGAAATCATATGTGAAGTGTATAAGTTGTGCAATTACTGCAAGAGACAACGAGTCAGGGAGTATATTATAACAACGAACATTTCACTTAGGTCTTTATAGTGACAAACTTTTGCATCTGTGCATTCTATTATTGTTCTACTGTTCTACTGTGTATAGTAGTGACTGATAAACATGACTCATAAATGAATTACTGTAAACTCTGTATTAAAAGTCGCGGCTTCTATTAAAATGGTACAATGCAACAGAGGGGATGTGGCTTCTATTAGAGCATCTACACATATGAGAAATGGTGCATTTTTGGGTCTAAATTGTTCAAAAAGAATATGTTCGGCTTCTATTAGGGATGCAGCTTCTAATACAGATTTTAAGGTAGTTTGTATTTACTACTCACTTGTCAAATCTAAAATCTAGTTACCAATATATATGTGTAGTGTTGTAGCTACACTTACAAGCAAGGTTACATTGTACATTGCCACATGTACATGCCTAGTTATGAGTGTCATTTAAGATAGTACCCGGTAAGTCACAGTGACCTTTGCTAAATTTGTTTTCAGAACCGCACCTAATTTATTAAATCTGACAAACAATCTCTAATTATTATACCGGTAGTTACACATCACAATATACCAAGTTCAACAAACAATGTCTAATTATTATAGTTACACATCACAATACACCAAGTTCAACAAACAATCTCTAATTATTATAGTTACACATCATAATATACCAAGTTCAACAAACAATCTCTAATTATTATAGTTAATTTGCATCTGAATGTAGTGATGAGTGATTTTCTTGTTTTAACTACTGTTCCTAACGAATCCAAGCTTGAGTGACTTTTCACTGCCCTGCAAGATATAATTGAAATGCTGCCCTCTATGTTGTATTCTGCTGTTTTTGTCTACTTCTGTTTATAGTCATTTTCCTTAGCTACCACTTTTAGCTTGGCTGAATAATTGTGTTGGTCATTTTAACCACAGATATTTTTTACAGTTTTGTGTTTTCATGTGGATTGGTACAATTTACGTAAGCATAACCAGCTGGCCGCTGTTTTATGAAGAATTCTTCTTAACCCCTGTAAGTACATGCAGATGAAATTCAAAAAAACAAAGCTGCAGAGAAAATATCTAGCTTTGTTGCACACTGTTACTGCTTGTAATATATATGCACTGTACTTGACATTTCAATTCATCAAAATAGTTTAGTAAGTAAATCTCAGTACACATGAATAAAGTTATAGCCATTTATATGGATGGCGGTATATTACCATTAAAATTGTATTATTAATTGCAATTTATTAATAAATTATTTCAAACCTCACGTCAGGATCATAGTTTGTAGTTAATGAGATGGTGGGAAGACAATGATATTTAATTAAATGGTTTCCATTGAATGTATTTTATGGTACATACATGTAATGTTTTGGGCACTGTTAGATGGACCTCTTAAATAGCAATGCAGTTTATAATGTGGGATCACATTGAAGATTGTATATTCTGAGTACAATTTTTGCTGTATCACCGAGATGAAAATGAAAGAATAGGAGATATCAATCAATATGTTCTTTATTACATCATACATATTTACATGCATTATGGGAGCAGTCAGCTACAACTAGTTGATTGTGTTACACTCTTATGTCGAGTTACAGCGATTGTGTTCTTTTAATGTGGATTTAATTGTGGGTTACAGTAAAGAAGTGTTCATTTTACATGAATCTCTCATTATGAATGGATTACCAGGGTTAATGCTGTCATTGTGTAATGTATGATTATAATAAATGAATGAATGTTAGTAGAACGCATTTCATATCTTACATACCGGTACATGGGATTTTGTGGTTGATGGTTCAACACTAATCGAGGTATGTAAGAGTATCAAATTACAGAGTAATTTATTAAGCACAGGTTAAACAATATAACTTGTGCGCAGATTGCCAAGTGCTTTGATCAAATGTAAAGTGGGTGTGTGGCACTTGGCATTTGCGTGAATCTGTGCATGCTCACTGTGTTTGCCCGGATTGGCTATATAGATACTTTTACATACATCACTAATCATATCAATTACTTCAATAATACATGTTAATTTATTATTTTGATAACATTTATGACAGAGCAGTTTTAATAACCCACTGTGTTGATTTTGTTACTTATATTTGACAATAATTGATGATTCCTTTCTCATTCAGCCAATCTGTACTCACCAAACATCCCTTTGCATCACCTACTGACCCAGAGGTCATTAATGGAGAACAAACATTGTCTCCTATTTTGCATCATCTTGTCATCTTTGACTTTTCTGCTTCACCAAAGCTCTTATTTGAAAATCTTTTTATTTTTCTTGTAGGGCGAACACTATTTACCTATAGTAAGTTAACAACAGTCTTGCTTAATGCAGACTGGCTTAATGTTTTGTATGTTTTAACCCATTCACCATAGTTGGTTGTGTTTTCCCGTATCAAGACCTATATGTAGTATCTTGCATGATACTCCCTGAAATCAAGTTGTAGCAGGCTCACTTTAATAGCCTATTAATGTTGTGCATTCCTGTGAAATGATGTACATGCTGCCAATAACATATCTGCTGATCCTGTCTTCCCCATTCATTTTGGCTATCCAAGGAGTTATTTTGTTAACCTAATATTGAAGTACATCCCAAAAATTAAATTCAAATCTGAATATTAATAAAACCAGTAATCGTAACAATCTGTGTATGGTATTGTACGAACATTGCCCACTGTGGTTAATGGGTTAAAATAAAAAGTGTGAATAGTGACTGTTTTGCTGAATCTCTGATGTTTCCAGTCATTTCAGTGCTGTTCCATCCTCTGTTGAGTCTTTGATATTTGTATTGATGATAGAAGTTTGTTTATAATATGTAAATTACTTGTGGTGATGTACATAATGCGGTGAACACGGCTTCCATAGTATTTACTGCAATAATTGATGGATATAAATAAACATCTAAAAACTGACAATGTTTTGATGTACTAGTAGTAGTAATGTAGATCATTTTAAACTATATGAGTCTAATTATTACTCCATAGTCAGTCTTGTATTGATCAGTGATACAGTGTCCTGATTTTGTCTTCATCCATAGTATGGCCTCGGCTACAGACAGAGATAGCCAAGATCCAACACAGTTTGTAGCTAACTAGACTAGTTACAACTCTCCCCCACTTTGGATAATTGCACATTCAGCTAAATGACTGCCCAGAACTTGAAAGTGTTGAGAACTTGTTTTTTATCAGTATGACCTGTACAATTTGTTAAGCCTTCAACAAAGCGCAATCTTTGTATCATTTATCAATACCAGGTTGAAACATGTAACTTATGATGAGATGTATAGTTTCGCATCTACAAGATTAGATAGTTAGATGTATTATTAATTCTAGTTAAAGAAGTATCTTTTAAATGGAGAGTAGAATACTAGATAGAAGAAATTAGACACACAGTGTTCATAACCCTGAATAATGCATGGCATTTGATGTACACCAATGTGTTTGTAATCAAGTGCTTGCCATATTTTTCCTCTCCTTCTGTGATATTTGCTTTCAGTAGAGATACAGTGCATGTCTGTGTAATGAATATTTATATCGTTGTCCTGTTGACTGATAATCTGATGCATGTACAGCTTGCTTGGTTCAGGCCTTTTATCTCGTACAATATATCTTGTTACCATGTGACTTGATAAATTGACCAATTACAAATAGAAAGATTTCTGGCAACCACTATACAAGAACAAGAACGAACGAACACAAATACTAATTTCAATTAACTGATAATTGGACCTATTACGTATGTGTCTGTACTGTACATGTGACATCACTTCCGTGTGTGTATACTTGTCTGTTTCCGTACATGTGGTTGTGCAGTTTGCTACACTTCTTGGCTATACAGTATGCTACTAAGGCAGCCTCTTGATTTTTTTCTCACTTCCTACAAAAATATTTGTTATTACGTGATGTTGTGCTGGTATCTTGGCACATGATTAAAACACATTGCCAGGTGGCATCATTTTTTTTTGGCTATCTGTGGAAGTTTTTTTAGCAGATAATGTGTTTATCATGACACCATTGATAATCTGTATGTGTATCCTCGGAAGTGATGTAACATCATACCTGCTGACCCTAAGAATGCAGCAATGGTGGCTTGACTTGAAATCTAATAACTCTTCTCTTGGCTTCTTGATTTTTTTTTCTTTTGTTTTGCTACTCTCTTTCTGGCTTAGGTTAGTAAATTTTGGCAGACTTTCCATCATCTTGGCGGTTTACTGCTCGGCGTCTGGTCCATCAGTCCTGCGAATCCCAAACGACAATCTGAGGTATCCGCTCCGTACTTTCTCACTGCATACCAGATTAGTTAATTAGTTATAAAAAAATTATTAATATTTTGTTTGTATTAAAGCTTGGAATTTTCATTTCCATTTTCACATATATTATCCAGCTCATTGTATGGAATATGTTTCCATCTGCTTCGTTGGTGCTGTATTTATCCCGTGTACATTCCTATCCCCATTTCTATTTGTGTTTGATTTCATCATAGGTTTTGGGTATTAGACATTGGTGTAGAATAGGGGTGCATACTTTTATTTATACCATATATGTCACGAATATATGTCTTGAGTAAATTATTTCCATTCCAACTGTAATCAAAGCTAAAAGCTTTGCACAATACAGGCATCTGACTTTCCCTAACTCTACCTTCAGCTGTCAGAACTGTATAATCTTCACTACGTCATTCTGATACACGTACAGTATGGACCTCTATTCTACACTATTGTGGTGAAATGTGTTGAATTTCTTGCATCACAATGTTCTCTTAATCCTTTGGATGACATTTTTTTCCTGCCAATTTGCAAATTTTTCTTTATTTTTCTGACATTATGTTCCATAATTTCTCACTAACTCCTACAAGTTTTGATCAAAAATTTAAAAAAATTATGGGAAAAGCTATACAGGTTAAGTGTATGGAAAATTATGAAAGTTTACTTTCGTGTTCAAAGGGTTATGTCTGCTTCACAATATATAGAAAATTTACATCATTTGTCATTTGTATACATATAGGTATTGCTAATAGCTAATAGTGTACTGCAAACACATATAACATACAATAGATAAGATCAAAGTAAATATCAACAAGTGCTTTGTTTTCAGTTTCATAAACAAATTGTCTGTCCACACCCTTTCTATAGGAGAGGGTTTCATCATGTAATGTACAGAATACAATTAAGATAACCATTTATAAGCAGCAGTAGCTGTGACTTGATAACCACATAAAGATGACCAGATATTGTTTTAGATTGTATGGGCGAAGTGATGATTTGAAAACTATGGATTGAGTTACCGCCAAGTGGTCACATGATGGGGACCGTAACAAATTATGATGTGCCACAATCATAAATTACTAGAAATGACACATAAAATTCTCATACGGCGCATATTTGACAAATCGCCCAAAGCCCCTGGTAAGTTGTACTATAATTCCTGAGCTTTGTTGATTTCAGTAGATGCCATCATCTGGATAATTAGGCACCATCTAAGTGATTTAATATGCAACTTTGGTATATAGTGCATATGCTTCAGTGCCCACATTTCGGCAATGGCCATTACAAATTGATACTTTGTAAAATTAAAATTAAATTTCAGATAAAAATCAATAGTTCTAGCTATTGCAGCTTTAAAAAAACAAAAAAAACAAGCATGTATGTATATCTGGATTCCTGATTTGGAATAAAGTGTACAGTTTTATAATGTCTTAGGGTAGGTAGGCAAAGTGAAACTGCTATTTGTTTTATTCATCTGCTATTATAGCAATTGTACCTCTGTGTATAAAAACATAAAGTCAATTCAAATAAATTAAAGTAATATTTAATTATCATATTCATAAAAGTTCCGTTCTTTGCATATATTTTATAAAAAAAGTCATTAATTTTTGAGTAGTCATTCTCACCTAAAGCTATGAGTGACATATCATTCCATCTGTTTTACATTTATAGGAGTTTAAACAAATTAAGTATGTATTTAAAGCTAATAATCCATGTTTTTATTTCACAGTATGCATTCTGATTGGTGTGCATTGTCTTTCCCATTGTTTACTTTGTTATATAATGCAATTTGATTCAATGCTTTCTATTTGTCAGCCAGTTATCAAAAACAAATGGTTGTCATATTCATTGAGTTGTTTTCATTTCATAATTAAAGGGTTCTTTCAAAAGTTTAAGTATGGTCAAAGGTAGATAATAAATAAGGGCATGCAAATAGAGTGACAGGTGACGGATATCCCCTGCAACAAACAAACAAAATCACTAAGTACAAATTTATAATCCAAATGAGTGTTTCTGTATTCAACCAGTACCTTCCATGATTCAACTGAGATTGTTTGTGAAAGTGTTTTTGAACAGAATCACATGTCGAATAGCTTTGGTTATTACTGTTTCTTTCTATAGTTACTACTGAATGTTCAAAGCATTCCATGATGATATTTTTAGTCAGAATAAGTTGACATTCATGGAGCTCTCATGCAAAATAGAAATTCATTGTCTTCAAGTATGATTTCTATGGTTATTCGCATGGTTATTAAAATTGCATGCCCTGTACCTGTTATCTACTTTTGGGTATAATCTTTTTTTTTTTTATGAAATTTGTTGTGATTAAATTATGATCCATGTTGTTCTACTTGTGTGGCTCTCTAACATGCAATGCTGACATATTTTCACAAAGATTGGTATACAATCTTTAAATGGCACCCAAGTAATGTTGATGCAGGCGCTGATATCAGTGCTCTGTGAAATTCCACTTTCACATTCAGATTATTAGCATTTTTGCGAATTGACAATCCTCATATATGTTTTAATCAACAATTTTCATTATTGTTGTTTATTTAATTTTTGGAACTATTTTGTGGAAGGATACAGCAGTATACACTTGTGGTGGGAAGGTTCAAAATGTTGGTAATGTTGCCTATTAGAGTACATTAAAATAAGATTTACACAGTAGAATATCATGATACATGTGTTGTACCTAGTGACTTGTTTTATCCATTATCGAACAGGATGTGGCGCGATGAACACTGCCATTTAAAAACTGAATCGATATGTGTTGATTATGAAATTCTAGTAACTATCGCGTTGATTCATTGTCCAAACCTCTTTCCAGTTAGAAGAGGACTAATTTTTGAAATGAGCGATTTTAGTTTTCAGATGCAACTGAGTAGAGAGCTGACAACAAAAATAATTTGTGTTGCCAAATATAAGGGAAGAGAAATATTATGTTTTTTCTACCATTCTTACCTGACTACACAAATATGTACATTTCTTCTCCAATAATGTTGTCTTGTTTTACAGGTCTACCCACTTCATACGCAGGTTACAATGTTTGAGAAGTCCTACCACCACATGATTTTCTATGAATTCTTTTTGTGTTCTGGTGTGGTGGTAGCATTGGGTGCCCTCACCTTGTGGCATATTAGAATCATTACAAGAGGCGAAACCAGTATTGAATCACATATCAATCGTTCAGAAACGAAAAGACTCAAAAAAGTTGGTCTTGTAAGTACTATGTTTTTAACATTCACTCATAATGACTTCTGTGTGGACTAACTTTATCTACATTTCTATGAAGTATATGTCTTATGCATCATTAGTCTCCCCCCAGAAGAGCAAAATGCTAGATCAGCATATTAGCTAATCCTAATCTTAATAAGGCAGTTCAAGATTAATGTAAACCCCACATTACATCTGTATTAGAAGCTGTGACTTCTGTTAAAATATTACAATGCAACAGAGGGGATGCGGCTTCTATTAGAGCATCTACACATGAGAAATGATGAATGTTTGGTTCTCAATTGCTCAAAATAAATGGGTGCGACTTGTATTAGAGATTTTACGATACTATACATATAAGAAGTGCATTATGGGAAAGAACTTTTCATTGTACATAGTGGGAAACTATTATTATAGTGAAATTTACCTAATTTAATTAAATGTAAATTTTTTAGCTCCGCTGTCGACTTTGTCGTGCGGAGCTTATCATATGAGTGATTGTCCGTCGTCGTCCGTGTCAATGTTTTACTTTTTCGACTTCTTCTTGAAAACTACAAGCCTGAATGCTTTGATACTTCGTGTATATGTACCTTGGGTAGATCTCTCTCAGATTTGTTCATTTCATGATGATATCTTCAATCCTCTAATTTTGGTGAATATTTTTGTCATTTTTAGTAAAAAGTGATATTTTCGACTTCTTGTTAAAAACCGCAAGTTCAATTGCTTTGATATTACATATATAGGTACTACATGTGTACCTCTCTCAGATTTGTTCATTTTGTGATGATGTCTTCAATTCTCTAATTTTGGTGAATATTTTTGTAATTTTTGGTAAAAAGTCATATTTTCGACTTCTTGTAAAAACCAATAGTTCAAT